CTTAGTCAAAGGTTTGGTGCTTGGGGGCGCTAGTCAGCAAGAAGTATCCGCGACCTTGAAGGAACTCATGCTCCCCGTGAGATTCAAACCCACGACATTCAGTGCCTCAATCAGAGACGTCAGCTAAGATTCAGCTAACTTTACCCTGACTCTGATTCCTACATATTTCAAAAGGCACAAATTATGCAACAGATGAACTGTCCTATCATCTTCTAGTGGATTTTTAATTTTAATACTTTTTGTTATGGTTAGTTTGCATAAATATCCATTGAGAACTGAAAGGAGTCTAGCTAGGAACACAGTGTCTAGAAGGAAAATACAAGCAAACTAAGGAAGTTGTCACGGGGTCACCAATATCCCCAAGAGTGGCAGATATGTTCGTGGGTAGGTGGGAAAACATAGCGATTGAAACGTTCAGCCCTACCCCAAAAGTATGGGGGAGATATGTAGATGATATATTCACTGTACTTAGAACACAAGATATAGATAGATTTTTCGAACACATCAACTCGAAGGTAGAGGCAATTCAATTCAATTATGAATTGGAAAGTCAGGAAGGGAAACTTCCAATGTTAGACTGCAACGTAAAAAGGAAAGAAGATGGGAAGCTAAACACTAGTGTTTACAGAAAACCCACACATTCAAACAGATATTTGGATTTCCGATCATCCCATCCTATGTCAGTAAAAATAGGATTAGTGAAATGTTTAAATGACAGAGCACAAAAACTAAGTAATATCAAGGAAAATCTAGGAAAGGAAGTGAAGCATATAAGAGAAGCTTTGAAACTTAATCATTACCCGGATAAATTAGTCAGAAAGTATATACAGAAATGTAAAAATAAATTGACTAATTACAACAGTGACAGTGATATTGACAATAATAATAGTAATAGTAATATTAACAATGACATACATGCATGTCAAACATGCGCAAGATAATGACAACCCCAACAATAAAGATCCTAAATCATCAGTAGTAATTGCCTACAAGGAAGGAAATTCGGAAATCTTACGCAGAATTCTTAACGAGACAGGAATAAAAGTGGCATTCAAACCCACAAACTCGATTAGAAACAAACTTTGTCCGTTAAAGGGTCCTGTGGAGCCTTTAAAACAAAACAATTTAGTTTATCTAATACCCTGCAATGATTGTGAGGTCAAATACATAGGTCAAACTAGTAGAACAGGGGCAGTCAGACTAGCCGAACATAAAAACCTAGCTAAATCTAGATTGGTTGAACCGAATAAGATAAGAAATCTAGAGAACAGTTCAGCTATAGCACTGCATGGAGTTACACACAACCATACAATAGGATGGGATAGGATGACAGTTTTAAAATCTAATGTCACAGGGTATAGGGAGAGATTGATAACAAAAGCTTTGTTCATCGAATCAACTGCAAAACGTGTAATAGAAATGACTCAACACCCGTCCCAGATATCTAGGAAATTCTACTACCCTAACTGTGACAAATAGGAGAGGACAAAGAAAATTATAAAACTGAAATTTCGAGGTTTTGTGATTACAATTGATATGATTATGAACAAAACATTTGTTCGAAACGTCATCCAGTAAATAATACTGTCTCACTGTATGACATATCTAATAAACAAACCAATGTGGAACTGATTGATACTGTACTTGTCTCCTTCCCTGACAGCCATGGATTGAATTTCTACTCAAATCTTGTGTGCTTACTACTAAAATACTCGAAATTAGAGGAAAATCTCCGGATTTGAGTTCAATTTTAGTTTTTAATTGACTGGTGAAGAATTCCGCTTTACAGTCGTAATCACTTTCTAGCAAATGGATTTGCTGCTGACGGTTATCCTTCTTAAGTTCATTCCAAGCCATGATAATAGAGTATTCAGTACAGTACTTTCAGTGTTGCTACATTCCTTACAAAACAATAATACACTGTAAGATGAAGAGCTAGTTTTTCATGTCAATAAAAAGTCTGAGCATTGTGGAATAGATCAAACAAAGTATAACTATATATATATATATATATATATATACATGGTCGGCCTGCGAAATTTGGGCTACCGATATCACATGCTGAAAATTCCATACTTGTACCAAAAATACTGTGTGGAATCAAGCTGTAACCAGAAATAAAAATAGAAAATATTAGTATATTTCAGTAGTTTACACACTGTGATAAGTTTTTGTTATTGGTGATGTTTAGAGCAAAATTACGACATTGTTTTTACTGACGTCAGTTAAAAGAGCTTATTATACCGCAGAGGTACGTTTTCTCTTCACAACCAACCCTATTCTACGTTCGAGAAATAGGGATAAACTACCTAAATTTGCCTCCTCTATGTGTATCTACCAGTTTCACTGCAGGTGCGGAGCCAGCTACATTGGGCGTACAATTAGGCAAGTTAATCGTCGTATTTCCGAACATCATCCAATAGGGTTAAGCAAGGGACAAATAAAATCTATTCGTAACTCTATTTTAGCACACCTTGTTGATACTGAGCATAAGGTTGATGTTAATACTGCATCTAAAACTATAGCATTCCGACTAACATTAATTTTGCTTAACGAGTTCACCTTCTACATACAGCTGAACCAATAGGAATCCACCTGAAGAATCCAAACCTGTGTGTTCAGAAGAAATTTGTACAGTCATTTTCCTTACCTTGACCGTCGTTACATGAGTATATAAATCGGACTACTTCGCCCCTTCACCCTAAGCCTTTAAAATTATAAAAGTTATAATTGTCCAAATTATTTTATTATTTTTCTGACTACTTCTTTAATTACATGTTATCCTTGAAAAATTATTTTATTCTTATGACCACTTCAACCTTAGTTACAGGTTATGATTGTTCAAATCGTTTTGTTTTCTTTAACAATCTGTCACGTAATCAACCTAAGCAGACGCTTATTCCCTATTTACTCTTCATTTTTCCAAAATTATGCAATATGCAATCCACGTGTTGTAGCCATTTGTACCTTTTAATTGTGTGTATGAATTTTCTTCATTAATTATCACCCCACTGACATCTTGACACTGACTAATTATTATTAACAAACATATCGCCACTTGTTTGGTAAATTGTTGTGTATTGTGATAAAAATGCTATATATATATATATATATATATATATATATATTAGAGTAGAGCTAGAGATAAGGATCTAATTGAAAAGCAAATATTTCTTCGCTCAATCTTTCTGTTTTCTAAATGTCTAAATGGGGATTTTTTTATATTGAATCACTAATGTATCACGAGGAAGTGAGATCCCTGTCCACCATTTCCGTCTAGTATTCTGAAATCCATTTGGAATGAAATATCTTTAGCCCTATTCTGAGGTGATGAAGGAAACAAACTAACCAACAACAACCAGCTTTAATAAGTTTCAACGAAAGAAATTTGAAGGAGGTTAACTCTTTCACTTATCTAGCTAGGCATCATCGTTTTAATTACAGGTGGAATAGATGAGGATGTCAAAAACAGAATTGGAAAGGCAGTACAGGTAGTCATTACTCTGAAATCAATCTGGAAATCTGCTTCAGTCAGCAGAGAGAACAATATTCGGCCATTCAGCATTAATATTAGGTTAGTTCTTCCCCATCGCTCAGTGACTTGACTCATCGCTAAATGCATCTCTAACAGGCTGCAAACTTTCATCAGCAGCTACCTTTGCTCGTTACTGAAGGTTAGATCGACAGAAAGGATTAGCAACAAGGCACTGTAGAAAAGAAACCAACCCAGAAACTATTGCCCAACATGTATGCCGCAAAAAAAAGTGGAATCGGATACATAGTGAGAAGACCGTTGGGTGACATCATGTGCCAGGCCATTGCTCTACTGGAAACCAAATAAGAAACGACGAGTTTAGCGTCCGACCGTAAAACGGAGGATATTGTGTTAGGAGGTGCAGACAGCTTATGGACAGTTGTGGGGCCAGCTAAAGAGGACTTCAGAGAACAGGTTGTAATAACAGTACGGTGTTGAAGCTCTGTATATCACTCGAAAACCAAGGGAATAATAGTAATAGGCTTTATTCATTGCAGTTAGTGATTTTGTCTGTTCTTGTGACTAGGAAAGTATATGATACGTAGCCATCTCTAGACGTGCATTTGTCATCATTCCAGGTTAACTAATCGATTAAAGTATAACAGGCACGTAAAAGGTGGTGTACACTATAGAATGATTAAGTTTTAATCGGTAGAAAAGTATTTTGCAATCGAATATGACCTTGATTACGTCATCCACTCCACATGCATAGAATAAAGTTACAGCACAGAAAACGCATATGCGTTCATACAATGAATAATTATTCACTTTTATCTTGAAGTTGCGTCTTTGTGATTGAGAAAAAAATTTTTTGCTATCGGAATTTTTTGTCTAAGCATCAAATAACTGGAAAGAAAAATCTGTTTTATTGCATGCAGATCACTGACAACAATTCTGATACCGTGTAATTTTAGAAATATTTGAAACATGTATTTTAGAAGACAAATGCAAATTATGCGCATATGTCATCTGAGAAGTAGAAGTGAATTAGACTGATAGATTTTAGTTGCACACACATCAATGATCGTGTGTCATTATTGCTTAACTTCACTGAAAAATTAGGCAGTAACAAATCACGTATACATATATATATGTACAAATATATACGCGTATGTGTATTTACATTGGATTTATTATTCTGATATATGGTTATATGAGAGATAAATTCTTTCCAGAATGTCTTCTAATCATCATTACATTATGGTGTGAGTTCGTGAGTTCTTATGCGAAATGGATTGTTATTTAGTTCAAATGAAAATTTAGCCTAACATTTAGATTGTTAGCATTATGCGTAAATCGTGTGTCCGGTATTCATCTGAACTTAATTTCCACCTAGATTTCTATTTCATATAAATCATTATTATTACCATTTGTTACTGATATCTTGGATTAATTAATTTTTTTAAATGTTACTTATATTCACCAATTCAATCCAGCTGAAAGATGCATTTATTTTACCTTATAGTTCATCATCAAAACATCGCTTCTCAATCTAATCAAGATGTAGTTAGCACATTTAGAGTTTATAAAAATGAAGTGATATGCTTGCTTGTGGAATGCGCATTTAAAATTATTTTACCAACAACGGTAAGTAATATTGTGCTTTTTCTATTTATTAGCATCATTATAACAAATGTTTTATGAAAATGAATGATAGAAAATTATTGTACATATGGCAAAACACCTAATTTAATGTCCATTCTTTCTACTAATAAAGGCGATGAAATTCACAGATGTGTCTAGTTGACGCACTTATGAGAACAGTAGGTAAAAAGCGTAAAGACAATCCATAATAGTAAATAAGTTTATGTTAACTCTTCGGTAGAATTATCTGCTATAGTCACCTGGCATTTGTCCAGTAATCTGAGTACTGGTATATGCAATTTATAACTAGGAAGACTGTTTAAATGGGTTACTATTATGGTGTAGTCTGTTTTCTGGAACAATTCACTAGTACCTTTTACTGACATTGGTGAGCATTTATTATAAATGCAAAGCCATATTTTCATTTATACTACTTCCGTTCATCTTGTACTGACGAGAACTATGAAGTGAATAACTATGAAGTTGACACCATCATATGCATTTTTCTGTCCTCATTAAGGTATTGACAAATCATCTTTCATTCTTTGGAGGTAGGATGTTTGACTGACTATACCTATAAATGCTCTAAATGTTCCCTTAAATTTAATACCGCTATACTACAAAATACACTCATCTACACCAAATATGTTACCAATGTTCAGTTGACAGTAGTGTTGTTAAGTATTTTCTGTCCTAGCTAAGTGAACAAAATTTTAGCTTCTGATACATTTCTGGTGTGGTTTCTAGAATGGCCTTCAACATGGTTTTAGCAAACATTGATAATTTTAAATCCTAATACATTTTTCTTTCCAACTGAAAATGTCTAATCTATATCTGATTTGACTAAATCAGTTGTCACTGACTTTCCCCATTACTGTACACAGTGTATCAATTTATACATATTACTCATTGCATTTTTATTCCTTAGAACCCCTCTTGATTAAACTGCCTAGTGTTAGTGACCATATTAAGTAGAGAATACTAAATGTGACACTCATGGAGAAAGAATAATTGTCCTCTGGTGGATCCTTGCCTTTTGGCAGTGTTCCCACTTTTGAACTCCCAACAAATCCCATGCAAACATTAGACAACCGCATCCAAAGAACCTTCAACAAGCTCACCAAAACTGGACAGTTCACAAAACAAGACCAATGGCCAATGAAATCCAATGGACCAGTCTTACCCCGATCCTACGGCATACCCAAAATACACAAGCCAAACATTCCATTACAACCAATTGTATCATCCCCAGGAACTCCAACATTTAATTTATCGAAAGAATTATACAGAAAATTGCAACACTTAACGAAATTTTGTGATCACTCCATCAACTCTGCAATCCAGTTTCTAGAGAAAATCAGAGGAATCCAATTAGATGAACAAGAAATAATGACATCCTTCAAAGTCACAGCAATATATACCTCAATCGGACAAAAACTAGGAAAAGAGACCATGGAGCAATTAGTCAGCAACGACAAACACCTCCCAAAACGATCAAAAATGCAACATACAAGCTGGGTGGAATGCATATAATATATAAATGGAATGCATATATATATAAACCTATGCCTAACAAAGTACTTCCAATACAACTGCCAAATATATGAACAAGTCAACGGAACACCCATGAGATCACCGATATCAGGTTTGATTTCAGGAGCAGTAATGAAAGGATTCGAAAACATAATACTACCAAAGATCAAACCCAAGATTTGGATACGTTACGTAGACGACATATTTGCAATAATCAAAAGAAACGAGTTAGATAAAACTCACAACTTAATAAACAATGTCTTCAACGACATCAAATTCACAGGAGAAGAGGAATCCGAGAACCAAATCCCATTTTTGGACGTTTCAGTCAAATGAAAAACCACAGAGGAATTAGAAAATCAAGTTTATAAAAAATCAATTCACACAGACCAAATATTGAATTACAACAGCAACAACCCAATAACACACAAAAGGAATTGTATACAAACACTATTTAAGAGAACCAACCAAGACTCTTTGCAGCACTCCCGCTTTAAGGAAAATTGAAGAAAAGTATCTCATGGACGTCTTCCAAAAGAATGGATATCCACGACATTTCATCAGAAGACATATACTCGCAAGCCAATCTATCAAACTAAAAGCTCCCAAGGAAAGCACAAAGAAAATCGCCTTACCATACATAAAGGATATCTCAGAAACCACTGCAAGACTCTTCAGACCTTTAGGAATTGATGTCGCAAACAAACCGATAAAATGACTTCATTCACTTCTATGTCAACCAAAAAACTCAACAACGAAAGAAGATAAAACCAATATCATTTACAAAATATATTGTAACAACTACGAAAACACTACATTAGCCAAAGTGGACGTCCCCTTCGTCTTCGTATCCATGAAAATAAGCTAGCCGTCAAAAGACGTGACATGCACTCCCTCATCTCGCTACATACAGACAACCACGGAGATCATTTCGACTGGGACAACATTCAAATATTGGACAGAGGAAACAACAATAATGCTAGAGAATTCTTAGAAGACTGGTTTTCCAGTGAATCATCAATCAATAAACACGTCGAGATAGACAAAATTTACCAACCGATGAGAAAGGAACCCACACACAAAGGATCAAAGTTCAAGTCAAAGAAACAATTACTTCCAATACAAGTAACCTAGAAGGTGTGAAGACGCACAAAACACAACCAATCACGTCCAAAGTCACCAGAAGAGATGATTTATAAATTCGTGGATAAATCTAGACGCTCACTACATCGAATTGAAGTATGCTCTGAAGATGTCGCCTAGTAGGTCAATGAAAGCTTCGCAAATTAACTATCCAGCTCAGAGAACACAACCACATCAAAATGGTCATCATTGTTCGGAATACTGTTTAATACTATATATATATTATTACTGTATGCATATATTGATTGATTTTTGTTTAAAAATGAACCCTGTACAGGTATGTTAAAATTGTTCCTATAGATGTAGTTAATAATGACTTTGGCCTGCAAGCATCTGATGAGAATCCAACGAAATAAATGATACTACCATTTTATTCTGCAAAATCTGTTCAAATTCAGCATTTGTCATTCAAAAGTCAAAAAGCTGTGCAAATAAGGTGGAATTTGACGAACGCTTAAGAAGTTGGTGAACTAGCATTTCCATGATAGGTGGTAACACCGAATTATATTTTAGTCGATTCTATTCAAAAGTTAGATAAAAAGCAACCAGAGCAAAACACTGCATTTACTTGATTCATGTGAATCATTCACATTAATCTTCTGGACGTAAAATATTGAAACTATCCCCTCAATGGTGCATAATCCATTGAAGTGAAATGAATGTAAAGTAATTCCTTTCACTTGACTAATGACTTTATATTCATTCATTGCCTTTGCTACATAAATAGAGCTTCTCATGTGATAATTAAAATTTCACGAAAAATCTACTATGAAAAGAAATCAAAAAATTATTGAATTTCTTTTTGAAAATCATGCTTTCATAGTATGCTCCTTAATCAGACGTGTGAGCCGGTTAAGAAAAGGATTACGATAAAAATAAAGTTGTGTGGAACCACAAAGTGAGCCAGCAGGTCGACTTTTTTAATCCTTCGATCACTGTTTAGCATTATGTGACATGTTTAGTCTAAAAAGTCCTGTGTATTTTATTTTTAAGCATATCAGTACAATACAGAATATGTTTTTAATCAAGCACGATTAATATGGCATAAAATCTACGTCCGACTATAACGTGGCAAACTGAGATGTTGGTCCTGCAGGACCATGTTACATTTTGCAGAGGTCAGTCGCATGCCAAATGTACTGTAATTTCTGCTCAATTTATTTAAAAGACTCTACACGACCACATAAATTGCAACAAAGGATGTTGATTAGTTCAATACAAGTTCTTGGCACTCTCTTCGTGACCAGAAATTTCCACAGAATCTACGGAATCAAATACAGCTTTCTTGCGAGTAAATATGGCTATTGTTAGACACGCGTAAATATGTCCATGTTCCATATTGATTGATACGCCCTCGTTCGTCCTTGAAACCCGCCTGATATTCAGGGGATTTTTCTCTCAAGCAGCTCTTCGTCTCCTCATGATTACGGAATCTAGGACTTCAGATATTGCGTTAATAAAGCTAGTCAACCCAATGATCATCACAGGGAGACGTATCCTCCTTTTTGCAAAGTGAGACAATCATTTATATGCTGCAGTCCAGTCTAAACTCAGGTTTCGGCACATTGCCTAATATTTTGGTCAACTTAATAGGTAGTTCCATGCTAAAATCCTCTAGAATCACTACATCATCTGCCACTACTTTGCCTTCTTTCAGGTAAGATACAACTTTTGTAACCACATTTACGGTTGAACAATAGATGACCACTGCGTAAATGTAGTTTAGTAATTCAGCTTAAATACTCCTAAAATGTTCGGCCCAACGTTTCAGCCCCCTATCTTGGGAGGTAATCAAATTGTTTTCCTTCTCAGAAATCCTTTTATTCTTCTTTGGGTTTATACAACTCGCTTCCTTATTGAGTCTAAACAGCTGTCTGGTATCACGTACAGCCGTCACCTTTTTCATTCCTTTCGCTTTTGTCGTTCATCACTTTTCACGATCGCCGCAACGGATTTTAGTTACCTTGCATTTAGGTCGTTTCGTTTTCGCCCCTTGGAACCTGTTGAAACTAATCTTCTTGCGTCTGTCGGTCAAGATGAAGCACAATAAATTCAATTCCTCCTTAAGTGAAGACTTTATGTTATCATCAAGGTGAGGGCATATTGGCTTCATAGTTGCATATTAACTCCTAGGAATGAGCGTAGACATAGCAACATGTGATTAGAGTCTACGCATCCGCGGCAGAAGGAACAGCAGTGTTCGATAAACGACAACTTATGACTTTGTGACCTATCTGCGTCCATTGTTGATGTAGTGACGGAAGTCTTCTAGTTAGACTGTTTTGTACTTGTATTTGAAGTTAGTACTGGCGTGAAACAGATGATTATCTGAACCTGAGCGTAAAAGATGGTAACCGCAGTCGCGTCATCTGCATGGAATGATTTACTACTGAAGCACTGAAGTGGTGGTCTTTAAAAATGACTATACCCAGACCTTTTACTACAAGCAGCAAAACAGGAAGATTTTTATTGAGCCCATCGTTCACCTTGTTAAAATGCAGTTGGCTTTGGCTGAAGCGGATACATCGATGTATATCATATTCCTTACCCCCTCTTATGGGTCCATATGGCGATCATGAAATAATCAATATTTGTAGCTCAGATGGGTAACCTTGATGTGGTTGAGTTCTTTGAGCTGAATGATTTAATTCCGTCTTTGAGTAATATTTACCGATAACTTTTCGAGAATAATTTAATAATTTATTTCTCATAATTATATCAAGTTAATCATACAACTTCCGACATCGTTTATTAAATCCCATTATTTCTCATCTCTCAACATGACGTATAGTAATATTTTGCATACCTCTAGTAATGGTTTTGAAACACTTCTTTTAAAGGTGTTAAGTGCAGACTCAATGAACAGAAATAAGCCTCTGCCTCCACCCACCTGTATTACTTTCTGGAACTGTAGCTCCTTCTCAACCTATTTTTTGATTGTGTTTTAACGCATGTATCGCAATTGCTAAGTTTTCCTCTCTGATATTCTCTGGGTCAGTCAAATTATAATCATCTAACTTCTTGTGTTCCGATGATTTAGCTACCCTAATAAACTGGTCCAACTTATGTGGTTGACTTCACAGTCTGAAAGTTGATTAATTGTCTATTCCATGTAGGCTTTTTCTCTATGGACGTTTTCAGAGAGTTGTCGGCGTTTCTTCTCAGATAGACGTCGAGGAAGTGGAATATTCTGTCGGATTCAGCTTCAAGAGTTAAATCAATGTTTCGGTTGGCATTGTTGCAAACCGAAACATATTTTCAAGGTCAAGGTTCTCATCAAAAATGATGGAAGTATCATCGATGTATCTCTTGTAATTATAAAGGTCGGTGATAGTCGATGACAGAAAGTTGTTTTCGGTGCTGGCCACAAAACAGTCCGCCAAGAATTTTAGATAACCCTTCCTCATAATATAAAACTGTAAATGCCTTAAATTCTTTCTTATTTATGTCCCACTGCTTTTTTCCTTCTCTCGTAAGCTTTTGTGATCTTCTCAATTAATTTTAATGTGTAATCAGTGAAAACTGACGCTTCTGCTATCTGTTTAGTCTTATCATCCAGGTTTCCTGATGTACTTCTGTGTGTTACTGATCAATTCGCTGGGTACTTAAGTAAGTCTGCCTTTACAAATAACGGATGAAATGAATTAGAGTCTAAATATCCATTAGGGTGAGTTCGCTGCTTATAAACTCTAGTGCTTAGTAAACCTTCTTCTGTTATTTTACAATCTAAAATGGCTAATTTTCCTTCCTCATTTTCCGACTCAATGTAAATTTTATTCTTCTCACAACTCAGCTTATGTGTTCCATTCTAAACAGTGGGAAAGTGTTTTCCAGTGACATCCACCATATCTCTGCAATAGGATTAGGTGTGTCAAGAGTAGTTACTTTTTTACGATAGCACTCAATGTTATTCTCACACCAGCTTTAGAATTCCCATCAAGTAAATTTTTCAGATTCTCTGTACTAGCGACATGCGGTTAAATAAATAAATACACCTCAGTCTTGTATTTGCGTTTCTTAAACACCCTACATCCATGTCTCAATATCTCTCCAGAGTTCTGGATAATTATGCCTGTTGTTTAATTCGGCACATTGTCCTAACTTTGAAAGCACCAATATGAAGTTCGCAGCATGGTTTCAGGAGACTACAAGCATTCTTTTTCTGGCTCAGACCACCACTAACAGCCACAGAGTTCAGAGAAGGTAAGAAAACAACCTATGTATTCGTATGAACAGTGAGAAAGTGAAAGCTAGTAGGTAATTCTGCGGAAAGTTTTATGTACATAATAAGGTGTGTAGATGGTTATTACTTCCTAGCGGCGAAAAGCATGGAAATCAATTTCTTCTTGAAACTCCTAAAACTAAAAAACATTAGAGTAGTATGAACTTACAGCTCAGAAGTCAGCTGCTTGAGGCTGGTTACACACGCTCTGTCTGAAGTGGTTTCCGACAGAGTTGCTTCCGTTTGAATAACATACCGCTGCCTCAGGAAAGCGACAACTTTAGTTCGGGTGTACAGCTTTCGGGGACAACATTTCAAAATCTCTCTTCTCAGGGCGCAATGACAACATGGCCAGATTTTTTGTTGTCCGTGAGGAACATTTTACTGCTGCTACAATGTTATTCTTCAACAGCGCCACTTCCCTCTCATACCCACAACCTGGTGTGGGTGACTCACATTATGATAGCAATAGCTCTCATTCTGACAGCAATCTAAGCGACATTTCTGATACTGTAGGATCTGCAAGTCATTATTTCAAGCTAGTATAATTCGTTTGGTCGTTACGATGGGCAAGACTGATAATCAAATGTAGCTACAGCTATCTATCGGGTTCAGAATAAGCAGGCGATTCAGATAAACTAATGTGCCGTTTTTACGTCAATGATCTAGTCAATGTTGACTAGATCTTTTGGTGCGTTTTCCTGAGAAGCAAATGTCTCCAAATTCATTCATGAAAACTAAACTTTGTGATTCATTCACTTATAAGGTATAACGTATCGTTATCTCATGTTACCTTTTGTATTTTCTATAGATTTACATATACAAAATTATTCACGCAATAAAACTGTGATGCATGTATCCCATAAGACCTAAGATTTTAACGATTTTGGTTTTAAATTACTTCAACGCACTTACCAACACTAATCAGCCAGTCCACAGTTACGCAGTCATGTTTTTTTTATTAATATGTAAAATATAATGAAAATCATTCACTTAGTAGCCAAATTTATCAGTATTTAGACAGCAAAAACGAATGGTCATGATCAACGGTAATAAGTCCGTTCATTTACAGGTATATCAGTAAATTGTCACTGAGGTGAAATGTGGGCCTTCCTTGACACTCAACAAAACTGTAAGCACAGAAACAATAAGAAAGGACTCTTTCTCTTCGTTTTACATAATTTAATGAAAACAAAACATGGTTCTCAAGTTATTTACTTTCTTCTGCTAGTTTATGAGACATTTCTGTCACATTATTATAGTTTTAATTTATATGACATTCGCGCACTCCTCTTTTTGTATTTTATTGAGTTGGGAAGTTATATACAATTTTCTTCTTTCCATGTAAGTTTCATCTTTCTGTGAAACACAAGATATCCAGCTATTTCTTCGCTTATTTGTTATACATTGCTTTGGACCGTTGTTATTCATAATTCCAGTCGATTCCGGTAGTCACCTAATAAGCTATCCAGCATAATCTCATCACAACTAGTTCCTGGGAAGATCATGTCACAGACCAAGTCTAGTAAGGAGCCAGTTGATGATGAGTAGCTCTTCCGTAATCGTTTGAGACTCTTTAGCATAGGGTAGATAAACTCTGAGTAGGAACTAAACCTTGGACCTTCAAAGTGACGACAGGGTGATTTTACCACAGAGAGATCAATCTAGAATCTGGTGGTATATGAAGTCCAACTTTCAACTATTTAAAACATATATCCAAAACTATGTATACAAAAACAGTAAGCTTCAACCTTCGCCTACCATGGACTACGTGACCTATTTAAATATGATTGATCACTAGTATATACTTTTGTTTTATACAACTGAGTAATTGTCGTGCATTTTATTTTATTATTATTATGAACCATGTTAGTTGTTAAACGATTTTAAAGAAACTACGAAATGATATCATCCAGCGAAATTTGTCTTCTAAATGCCTTATTCAAATTTCACTTAATTGTCGAAATTGTAATGAACATACGAGCAAACAGGTTAGTCAGTAATTATTCTAATCTACATAAATATATGACCGCTGAAATTTAACTGAATATCTTTCTTCTACATGCCAAAGGGGATAATTCATTTAAAGGGATGTCGAACTAGCTCAATGTAATTTATTAAAAGCATCATTTCACAAAATTCCCGAGAACTTTTGTTATTAGAGAATTAAAGGTCTCACTGCATAAAGATAAATATCAGCCATATATATGTTTTAGATAACTATTGTGACCATGACACTATTATTCTTGCTAATGGGATGATATCAATGAATATTTTATTCTTTTGGCTAATGAGAATTGTTACTTTACTGATAAATAGTTTCTGAGAAGATGTGGATAATAAAGAGTTACATTCTATGAGAAACTCTGTACTGTGCACTTTAACAAGTAACATACGGTAAGAAACCGAACACTTCTATTAAACTTATTAACTTTATCAATAACTGCAATTGTATACAATATTGTCTTAAACACTGATATTTAGGAAAAAGGGAAATACCTTACATACTATGTGAACAAAACAACTGAAAACAATGTTAAGCATGACGGTGATTGTAGTAGAGAAAATGCTTCATTCAATTTGCGTTGGGAACAAAATGCAAAGACCACATGGAAGATGGAAATGGACCTGCATGCACACGACCACGAATATACATTAGATACTATCACAGTGAATTACTTACGAGGCAATGGTACGTACAGATAAAATTTGCTCTTTGTTATGGTTTTACATTGATTAATTAATGCAAACAAAATTATCACTGATAGAAACTGAATAAGAGAGCAGTCGAATTATGAATATTATGAAAAAAAATTCATTTTAGTGAAGTCTCACAGTGTTATACAATAATATTTACTGACGACGTTTTGAGCACAGCTTATTGCTCATAATCGTATCATAGTTGTGTGAGTACCTTTATATGATTTTGAGCAGTAAACTGTGCTCAAAACGTCACCTGTAAACATTACTGTATAATTCAATGAGACTGTATTAAAATAAGACATTTATTTATAATGGGATCACACTCTATCCCTGTATCAATGATGCATTTGTCCAGTTAGCTTCAGCAACAGATATCCTAACTCACCAACTGTTAACATCTGCATATCAGTTACTCTTGTCATTTCTTCAAGGAATTATCTCAGTAATGATCGGTCTAAACCTGAGTATAATCACACTAAACTACTTAGTTATTCTAACCAAATTATGTTAAGGTTGTGTCAGACAACTGAGATGTCCTTTTGTCCTTTCTTAAATTGGTTTAAAAACCGCAGGAACTGACCCCTTGCAAAAAATGTGTGCTATATCCAAATGTGATCAACTTTGCTAGACATTATCAAATACAACCAAGAAACAGCTAGTTAAAATAACGAAGTATCAGTATGAGTAGGTCGCCTACCAATAGATGTTAGTGAACTGACCTCAACGACCTGAAATTCAGAAAATATCAATGAAGAAAGTAGCAAGATACCATTCAATGTCTTCTGCCAAAGAAGTTATTATTTGACTAGACTGCTAACCCCATTTACTTAATCACAAGTTCGGTCATAATTTTAAAATAAGTGGGGAAAATTCATACATATTTTAAGTGAAACAAACAATTTCTTTGATCGCACCGATTTTTGTAATTTTAAGTGTTGAGAAAATAATGTATCTTTTATAAAATAGTTAACAAATGATTTCAACTTTTATGATGACTTCATTTTTTTTAGTCGCCAAACTGAAGTGTCTCGTGTACATTATTAAGACCATTAACATGTGTGTGGTATTTCCAGCTGAGTACGAAATAAATGAAACATAATGTTTAAAATCTGTGTTAACTACTATAGTTCGGAATATTAGTAAAAAACAGAATGAAAAGAAATGCAGTGAGTACCGATCAGGCGAACAGCATTTCAGTGAATAGATCAGTCAAGAAGAAAGACAGTCATAATAATTTTATTTATATTTTTTATTACACCGTATTTTTGGTACAAGTATGGAATTTTCAGCATGGATATCTGTAGCCCAAATTTCGCAGGCCGACCATAGATATCAAGGTGTGCGCCGGCTCGAACTCCGGACCATTTGCATGGTCGGCGAGAGTTCTAACCACTGCGCCACCATAATTACTTATAGCTTGCCTGTTATAAGAGATGGTTTTTACCAAAGTCAACGGCGTGATTTCGTTAAATAACTACACTGTCGTCAAATCTTTCTAAATTTTCTTTAATCAGTATGGCATAACCTAAAAATCACCAAAGAAAGACTGTTTACTGGCTGTAGTAATTATTTAGTGCTTATTATAAACTATAGGCTCCGTGCACGAAAAATATTGGTCTTAATATTTATTGGCTGAATCAAGACTCTCGGCCTTACGGACCGACATTGGAATACCAATGAGATGCTCACTGGCGACTAGCCCTATTCAGGCAGGTAGTTACCTGGGTTCCAGTGGGAAGTCGTGACCAGTAGGGTGCAGCGGGTCAGGTGTGAGGACAAATACTCGCCGAAGACATTGGCTAGCGGTCGCGATATGTCGTGAATCGGCAGAAGTAAGAATTCAAGGACCATTGGATCGGGTCCCGGTGGCTTAATGGTATACAAGCTCGCCTTGTAACCGGGAGGTCCTGGGTTCGAATCCCGGTGGGTGCGTACTGATGAAGAGTCCCAAACTAGGACGAAACAGCTGTTCAGTACTCCCAGGTTTTCCAATGGTTCTCTAACTAATGTCAGCTCATGATGAGATCCTTTTACCTATTTGTTCAAAACACTACATACTTTTCATATTCATCCGTGAGTTATACGCTGACTGTTTTTCACTAATAAATGGCAGTCTTTTCTATAGTTTGGTTTGTAAGAGTTAGTTATGTTTTTACGAGTTGATCACGGATTGATATCAGTTAGAGAACCACTGAAAACCAGGGAGTACTTCGTCTTTAGGTTCATCGAGTTTTTTTATTTCACTTTGATTAATAAACAAGTAAGTGGAATAAATTAAAAATATTATTTCGCCGTTGTAATTACCTGTTAGTAAATTTATCGTCGATACAAATGACAGTCTGAGTCAAGCAAACAAAATACACGGAAAAAATATTTATTTTACTTTCCATTTCTCTTTTTTCGCCTAGATAATGTCACCGCTAAATCTACCAGCAAACTTTTTACAATACCATTAAGGCATTTTTATAACTGTAATGAAGAACAACAGGTCAATTTGAAAACAGATAACGATCATCAAGCTGCCGTTCGAATAATCTTTACCAATTTAACACTTGAAGCTTTTCGTCATAGTTATAAAACACAATATATTGGTTCAGGTAAATTAATTGACTACTTGAAATACTTGTAAATGAAGAATAGTTTGTTTAATCCATCAAAAGATTAAATATGATATGAAAGTTTAATTCACTGACCTCATAATTATGAAACTCCAGTAAGCCTTAAAAGCATACTCTTGGTAGCTTCATATTCCATAAATGTCTTGATGAAATTCATAACGCCTAAAACTTTTGATTTTATGATCGAAGAACGCAGTCGCAAATTGATTTCTTCGGGCCGTATTATCTTAATTTAGTATAACAAAGAATAATCACAGTCAAAATGGTGTAAGGATACGAATACTCTGTCCCCTGTATTTTATTTTGTGAAAACTTTTGAATTTTGAAACGGCGGAGAAAATCAGAATCATCAGTAATCTGATGTTGGATGTGTTAAATTCACTGATATAGACAGATTAATAATGCTGTTTTTATGTTCGTTCATTTGCTTTTTCATTCCTGATAGCAGTCAAATATCGTGTCAGAAATCTATTCATATCAGAAAATACGGACAGATGAGCAAATTAGTTTTCTTGGAAGAATGTACAACATTCTGAAAACAAATCAGAATCAAGGCTTATTTCGAAAAACTTTAGGAAGATTGAAGCTAAGATCCACTAACTATGAATAGACACATGAATGCCGACCCAGTTAAATAACCATCAGAAAACACCAAAAGTAAAACTAAGGAAAAAGTGAAAGTGATGAAAACAGATATAAACATTAACCTCATGACCTTGTAAAAATAATAATAACAATTAAAAACAAGATAAGTTAGTTCGACCATCTTTGGGAATCCTTACCTAAATCACTTGATCTGGAGTCTCATGCCTATGTTTTCAAGAGAGGAAATAAAAACAGAATAATTCAGTAGAAAAAGCTTAACTTAAACTTCCCGTTGTAAGCATGCCACCAAGACAAGGTTTTAGTATAAAACATTAACAGTTTTTTTCAATCAAAATATCGATTTTAACTATCCTTGTCTTGGACGCTTTACATTGTGATTTGAGGTATTGACTAGTGATTGATATAAATGGTATGAAGTAAATGTTATCATAAGGGAAGTAATTATTAGACACGAAATAGTTTCATTGTCATCAGTCACTTAGCGTTTACTAGTGTTATTCAATGGTCAATTACATTACAAGTAGTAGTTGGTCAGTTATAGAATTCCTCAAATGGTTTCCATCACAAATTACTATCGTTTACGAATCGATGTAAACTCTGAAGTTAATAGACTTCAGCCATATTTTATGCCGTACCCTGTTAGCGATGTGCATCTACAACCACGTACTTATCAATATTCAACATCTGGTTACCCTTAAAGTGCAAAAGTTACAATTTAGCTACATATTCGAAATTTAGTCATTTTTATACGTTTTATTCGTCCAGTCCATTAAAACGTTTGTTTGAAGTAAATTTCTCTATTTGCGTTTAACTGCAGGTTTATGAAATAATACGATTAAATCATAATGTTCTTAGCTAGAAAATTTATTTTTATGAATACAACATAATGTTATAAAAATATAATTCTTTATAAATAAATGACTCGCTCATATATACTATGGTCGTAATTTGCTTTAATTGAAACCGATGTATGTGTTTTATATTTCAGAATCGGAGTGTGAATTGGATACTTCAAGAAGAGACGCTATTATCGCAGTCGTCATCATATCCCTTATTGCAATTTCCGTATTGCTGATTGTTTCACTTAGTGTCGGTTTAGATATGATTCGAGGTAGGTAGGCTAAATGAGTGACAAAGAAGGAAATATGGGCACTGCTTCCATCAGATATATCTCATTGCAAATCTATTTTGACTTTCCCATTAACACATTGTGTTATATTCCAACTGGCAAATGTACTTTTTAGATTATCTGTGATGTTGCAAACAGAAGTACAGCTATTTTAACATGTTCGTTCGTTTTCTTATGGTATTCAGGAATGTTAAAAATGTTAGGTTTTCGTATGGTTTTATTTCTCTTGTCCACTATTAGTTTGAATTACCACGTTCAACTCGGAACTGTCTTACAATTTTAAATTTTGCCCCTGAAATTTTGCATAGAATGAAAATTTAAGTGTTACAGTTGACGTATGAAGCCGAAAGAGTGCAATAAGATTTATCTTCTCTCCACCCTAACACATTTGATTCTAAAATACATCTACCACTTTTATCTATACTATTTTCCAAGAATTTCGATGCGTAGTGTGCATATTTAAGTGTTAATCTGCATATAGTATCCTAGTAATTTTCTTTATCATCCTATTTTGCTATTGTTTATGATCCACAACCAAAAACTCAGAGAAACCTTCGAGGTGAAAACAAGGCAGCCTAATATCTCTGATGATACTTCTAATTTTGATGGACTGGATTATGCCGCACATCTTGAGCGAGAAGGCAAGATGACGTTGAGTCGATAAGAATAAACACCAACCACTGTCAACGGAATAAATCGGAAAGAGGTCACTTTCTTTATTCATTTAAACAGTGTCTATTCACTTACATGTGGGGAGGATGGGGTTGTCAGAACCAGAATCGCTGAGGCAAGGCTGACCTCCATTACACTAAAATCTGTTTGAAAATCTGTTGCACTCAGTATAAACAACAAAATTTGGATTTTTGATAGATGTTTGGTCAGTGCCCATGTATCTTTCAGAGACTTGGCAGATTGCCAGAAGCATTCCCAACAGTGTAAAGACGTTCATCTACAGTTATCTTCTCTCCATAATGAAAATCAGATGGCCAGAAAGAATTAGCAAGAAGAAACACTTGAAACAAAACAAACCAAGAACGGACTACTCAGCATTACGCCAAAGATAATAGAGATGGATCAGAGCCACGTTGAGGAAATCTTCGGATGACATGGCGTACAAGGCCATCTCACGAGTGGATCTAAATAGAAAATGGCGAGTTGGTTGTCCAGGATCTACATAAAGAGGCTATGTGAGGCGTGGTTGAGAGCCTATTGGCAGTCTCGAAGCCAGTTGAAGAGTACTGCAGAGAACAAGACAAAATAAAGATATGCCTTTGAAGCCTTATATTACACTAGTGACCCAAAGGAATTACAATGAGTAATGCATCGACAGTTCTGATTAGTGGTTTACTAGTAACATACTGAATAAAATGAATATCTGTACTTGTTGTTAAAGTGTTTAAGGCACGAAGGGTATTTCCAATCCGTTCAAAGAAGTATTATTATTATTATTATTATTATTATATAAGCTTTATTCCAAATCAGTACTTGTGATACAGAATGGAATTCTCAGCATTTGTGAACAGTAATTCGCACACATCTTTCCTAATGTATTTCTATCGCCTTTTATAATCAGTCATTAAAAACCTAATACTGTACATAAGATATCCACAGTGTCGACAGTGACAGATTTCGATATTTGCAACAAATCAGCCAATATCTTCTCAGATCTGTAATTGAATACCTTTTAAATTAATTTAAAAACAGGTTTCATCTCTTTTACTTATTGAGCAGTGAATAAATCATCACCATATGGTTACTCCCATATTGCAAATGACAGTGGGTTAAGTATCATTCACCTCTCTATTTCGAAATCACTTAGATACCTTAACGTAGATATATGAGCATATATACTGTATGCTCTAATCTAAGTAGACAGATCAATTATATCAAGAATGTATTTAAGAAGCAAATTTTTAAATAGATAGTTTACATTATCCTTTGTAACATCAGTTGCCAATTCGCAAATTCCTTTTCATGACTAATTAATTCTTTTTCTGCCTACAAGGTGCAAACCATGTGAACTGTGACATATTTGAGAAACAGGTTTTTACTGACAATAATATGCGTCAGAAATCTTACGGAATTTTATGCATGATACAGAATAGATCATAACTAACTCTAAGAAGTAATTTTCAACTATACTTTTTATAAACTTGGAATATGCTTTAGCATATGATGATACACAACAACATGTTTTCACTCATAAATAATTGTGACTATAAGACAATCATTGGAAAGTGATTAAATTGCAAACTATGCATTACATCTGAATAATTAGCAAAAGAAGAAATAGAAACATCATGGTTGCTCTATATTATTCAATAATTTGTTATGGATGAAAAGCAGTCATTTGTGCACAGAAGGAAAAACCCTAAGTGCATGATTAATTAATACATAAATAACAATACTTGTAAATCGAAAAAACACAAAAATAAGTCTCTTTAGCCTTAAACTATTTTTAAAAGGTGATGAATAAATTCAAGATGATATTACAGTGAGAATTGTCGACAGCTGGAAACTTGAATGTCTAAGTATGGCACGGGGAACCTTTTTTTAGTGGAAAAGAGATGCAAGAGCTTGGCTAACTCTTCAGCTGCCATGGTAGCAATTAAAAGGTTATTTTCACATGCACATCCTTGAACTTTACCTTGTACAGTTGTCAAATGCAAAAAACCATTCAGTCATAAGTTGGTTTCTTGAAGGTATTATCAAATCCTACTACATTGCTCCACTAGATTTCTTCTGAAAAATTTGTAAAGTCAGATCATACTGTCTATAAATATTCCATTTTCTCATCCCGTAAACTATAGAGGGGCTAGATATTGACTAAACTAATTTGGACTTGTATACAAAAGAAATAGGCTGACATTTTTACCATGAATTGTTCCTCTTGATACCACATTATCTTTCTTATTTGGTCATAAGTAATCAATAAGTCTTTGTTCAAACTAGCAAAGACAACTAGCTGTATGCAAGAATTTACGACTTTTAATCGTATCTTATACCACCCTTCGTACTTTTCAAGCAGACATTCAGCCATGCTAATGAGTGTCTGAGAAGAATTACCTTCCTGCCCAATCCCTCAACTTCTCACTTTTATTCTAAAAAGTTCATTGGTTTGATAATATAATTCAACTCGTGATTACTTGCCATTTACAAGCTAATGGAAACAAAACACGTAGTTAAGCGAAGAAACCCTTATCGATAAGTTCAATTTTTCTAGCTGTATATTCGCATTTATATACAGTTTTTCTCCAAAACAGAATATTAAGAAAGTTGATGACCAGTAGTACTCATTTCTGTTCATTTGATCAGGGAGTTTGGTAAGGGTATTAAAGTTACGTAGTAGGACTAATAATTTATAATGAATTGGTTATAAACAGGGTACACACATAAACGAACGAAAATGTGGAATTGTGTGGGAGTTGTGAAGAAATACAAGCTTACGAAAATTAAGTCAGTAGAAATCAACGGGGTTGTTACCATGGTAGTAGGAGTATTGGAATAATTTTCATTTGTATGCATAGCTCCAGTTTCTCTAACTGAATAGCTAAAGCCTCAGCAGTGAAAAAGAGACGAAAGCGTATTATCTTTGACAGGTTATCCTTCACCTTGTAGATAACTTTGAAGAGGTCATTTGTTGAGATGGAATGACCAGTGATGACAAGGTGTTCAACTACCTCACTACTTACACAGACACTACTGCCTTTCTCCAACCACCAGAGAAAGTGTTCTTGAATCCTTTTGGACAGGATACGCGTTGAACGACTAATATACCTGGCTCCATAATGATAGATGAACCATTGTATAAGCACAGAACTGTTCATATGTGAGATCGTGTCCTTCAGGCTTCTGGAAATCAAGGACAACTAGAGAAAACTAATCTTAGCATTGCTGCAAAGAATGTTCTTCTCAAAGACGCCGAAATTATCCTCTTGAGGATATCTTGGGTTGTTTTCCTTGAAATCCAGTTTCATGTAAAGTTTTTTTGGAACAAGTAGTGTAACACTCCTCTGAACTTTTTTTGGTAATCTTGTCAATTAACCTTGTTGGGTACTCTTTTGTATGAAGGTTTCTTTCAGAAGATCTAGTTCTGCTTCATGGGTGTCAGGACTACAGATGAGTCGGTTCGGAAGGGTGAGGGATATTAATAAATTTCCAACGGTAGAAACTTGTTAGCTGATGGTTCCAAGTGGGTTTCCTATGAACCTTCTTAAGCTTCCATAGGGTATTCCTAGTTCCACACTTACAAAATGAATTTTGTATTCGTTTTCCATTTCAAGACTGAATTTTATTACGTGAAAACAGTTGTTAAATACATGTAGCAATTGACTGTGATCACAAATCATGAAATTATGATGATGAAATAATTCAATCCTGTTGTGTAATTATATTTTGTCATAGGGTCGGAGGATAAATTATCTCCAGCGACTGGCTTCATCTTTTCTTATAATATAGTTAGAACATGTTATCATTGTGAATTACCAAATGTAAAGAGCTTTTCATCAAGCGATCCCACTGAGGAGATGCCGTCAATGGTAATAAGCTTGTACTGAATGCCCAGGAGAATTGAAATGGCTCAATCAAACAATATTTACAGGCTGATTATAATTATTACTGTATAAGCATTGTACTTTCAGTTATCTCTTCTACATCCTACAACAGTTTGGTTCATTTAATCTTCGATACGGATTAATAAAGAAACTGAATATGACCATCTCACTGATATATATGGAAAGTGTAACAATCTAAAATAGAAAAGAAATTAAGAGTGAATTAAGATTAACAGAGTACTACAAAGGCCTCTTCATGAAAAATGTAATTCTACTCATTAGGTAAAATTAAAACAATCTCAGTAAATAAACATTAAAAAAAAAACATTTCGAAAATGTCAGTTTTCAGAATTAAAATTGGACAGACATTAATTCCTCTACTCTGAGACAGTTTCATCTTTTAGCATACATAATATCAATCAATTTCTGATGTATCCTATGCAAATTCCAGTTTTTTGATAGCTGCCGCCAATTTAAAGCTAAATATTATGTTGGTACTTGGGCATAGCAACTCACTTCTAAAGCATAAATGAGATATTCTATCTTCCTAAAGTAATACTTGTTCGAACAGCGCATTACACAACGGAAAAGTGTGCGTTAAATTAAACTCAAACATTAAAATTAGTGATCATCCCATAAGTATGTATTTTCCACTATACCAACGTAATTATTTCTATTGTTTATATACACTGCGTGTGACACAGCGGTTAGGACGCTCGCCGACCAAGCACATGGTCCGGGGTCCGATCCCCGGCTGACGCACTCCTTTACCTCGCTTAGCCAGAAAGAATGCTGGTAAAGTGGAAAGGTTGGGCATGAGGCTAGCAAACCCATCCTGTAAAATTAAACACTGCTACAGAAACTTCAAGCCACTAGCTTGAAGCCCTATGTTCCACTGGGAACGTGAAGGAAAATATATATATACACAGCATACGATTGCATTTAATACTTGTTTCTCTCTCTGTTATGACAGGTGGAATGGCAAAACAACTTTTCAAGAATTGATGACCCACTTGTTAATAGACGATTTATAAAACTATAGACAACAAGTTCTTCACTACCAGTTAAGATAAAAAAAATTCAGTTTCAAGCTCAATATCAAATGCAAATGAACACTAAAGAGTATCTGTAATACTGAAATAAAATGGTATAT